CCATTCTGCATTGGGTGAGTGACTTTTCTGGAATAAGATAAGGTGAGGATGTCATGGTCAATTGTACATGTTGATTAAAGTTAAAATAGTGCATCATTCAGATTTGCCGTCAGTTAACATGAAAGAATAAAAGAGCACTGACAAGGGGAAAAATAGCGTTAGCCAATCAGTTTTGATAGTTAATTGTTTTTTTTGTTTTTTATCAACTAGCTTGTCAAATGTGTTTAAAGCATTACTGCATGTTAGGCATGGGTGATATGACTACATATCGTGGCGACACATAAAGTGTGAATCGACTGAACTTTTTCTAAATCGTTTACATAGATAGGCCTGTCGGGGTAAGCGAATATATCCGTGCAGCTTTTAGTGGGCAGGAATTATTGGAATAATGGAGTGGAAAAAGGAGCATGAATGAATGAGCAATAGAAAGTGATGTGCTTGGTGCAGAGTGGAACGACAAGTAGGCCTACACTTCTGACTTAAACAATAATAGGGTATATGTCGAATATCACCTGACCAAACCCGGAAAACAGGTCTCATTGCTTCCGCTTGTCGGAGAACGTGTTAACAACCGTATTAAATAATAGCGATATCTATGGACTTTTAAGATAATCAGTTAAACTAGCTAGCTGTTTTTATTGTTGACGTTTTATTCAATTTTTATATCTAAATGTGAAAAGAAAAAAACTTTTAGATATCAGTCCACATATGTGATGGACATTGGTTATGATCATCATTGCTATCTACTTTGAAGGCATCTTGAGTAAAACTGCTTCATATGCAAAACGCTTGAACCGGAAGCGACGAGACCCGGTTAACAGAATACGGAAGTGTGTTGCGCATAACCCCTATAGGTCTGTGACAGTAACGGGAGTTACCAGATCGGGGCGTTTTCGACCTGCTTACCTGATTGGCTCACATCATAGTGACGGTAGGTTTAGGGGCGGGGTTAGGTAAGGGGAATCATTTTCATTGCATCTAGAAACACCCATCAGTTTGAAAACACCCACAACGTCAGAAACGCGCACTTTTGCTCTGCAGAGACCTCAATCTCGACACACGGGTCGCAGCTGAAGCCTCCCTGGCTCTACGCCTCGAACCTGCTGACTGCCCGCTCCTCCCTAAACGGACGAGGCTTTTATACTCGATGCGCTCGGAAGCGACTCCGAGTAACTGCTCTCCAAACCATCAGAAAGCAGCGGTGAGAGGACACGTGTGGAAATGTTTTTGAGTACACGTTTTAAACCCACACAAAAGAATTCAAAGCAAACTTGAGATTATGATTGGTGACATTAGAAAAAAAAAAATGTTTTTTTTCATTCATTAAACATTTTCTTTTAATTAATGTTTGTATTAACCTTATAGTCTATGGTATTAACATGGACCATTACTTTATTCATTATTTCTGATATTGCAAGCTCATTTTGTAAATGTAAGCATAAGTGCAAACTTGGTGCTTAATGAAAAATGTCACATTTACAAAATCAGGTGATTGTGTTCACCCATCCATGCAAATGTATGTTCATGTAGAGACAAAATAATGAGGTTAATCACTGTCTGTCAACAACAATTTAATTTGTGAAGACACTGATAAATGGTTCACCACAAGAAATCTTAAATGCTATCTAAATTATTCTAATTTTAAAATGTACATTTTAGATAAACTTTCTCATTTGAATAAACTTCATATACAACAAAATAAACGTAACATTTTTTTGGTAGTTTTGTATTTGCTACATGGTAGGGGGAAGGGAAGAGGTATGTACAATGAAAACACAAGTTTCTAAGCAGTTGTACACATCGAAATGTGTGTGTTTGTTTTTTCTTTCTCCAGAATAGGTCCAGATAGATTTCAGCCTATAGGGATACCTGCACTGGATGGCCAATTTCACATCTATTTTGTGCATTTTCAAAATACAAAATACTGTATTTGTATTTAAATACATTTTTCCAGACAGTATTCTGTATTTTTATTTTAAATACATTTTCATGTATTTATGCCCATCTCTGGCCAACAATAGTTGCATTTGAGTTCAAACAGCTGAATTCTCAGTATAAACGGCATCTCTAGATGTTACTGTTTTAGATGCGAGTCAGATGGAAATCTTATTTTTCTGTATCTCATATTTATGTTTATTGCGCAAACAGTAAAGCAGTTCACTCAGAACAAACTGATAATTACAAAAGTTTATGTATATTTTTAAAAACAGAACAAAAGTCAAACACGACACTAGACAGCAGATTTTGTAAACAGGGAGAAGTGTAAGGCTAGTTAGTGTTGAGTGACGGTGTTTAGTGTGTTTAAGAGCAGCTTTAAATGTGCAACAGAAGTACATGGAAACACATTCC